CCCCAAAACCCCAAAACCCCAAAACCCCATGATCTAGTTATGACATCATAATCGCAAAGTATCAAATTAAAAGCAATATTAATTGAGTATTTCATTAATTCAGAGTTCCACAGGCTTTTTGCAGAGTGGGCAGATGCAGTTCTTATTTAACCACAATTCAATACACCCAGTGTGAAAAGCATGTCTTTCATCACATGGTAGTATTGTTATATAATCTTCCATAGTATAATTTCCCAAACATATTGAACAAAATTACTCGCTTTCACTTTCAAATATCTATTTTCCAGGTTCCTTTTTATCTTCTTCACTTAAGAACTTACCAAATCTAGTCTTTTTTAGTTTTATGAGCACATCTCTAGAGGATGGTACCCAGTTGGAATCTATTTATCTCCTGGTGCACCAAAAATACAAGAAAATTGGTATTAGTAAAATAAAAGCCACAACCACCAATGAAAATATCATCAACTGAAAATAACAGTAGATTAAAACAAACATCAATGTATAGAAAAACAATTTGTTTGTAAGCAGACAGTTGTTTTACTAAGAAAAATACATCTAATTGCCAATGATCAAGATATAGATAAGGACTAGAGATGTCAGTAGTTTAAGAACTGTTAATATCTTACTCTCCTCGTAGATGACCCTAGAAGGTAATCCAATTTACTCAATAATATGACCTTGTATTGCAAATATTTGAGCTAAGTTTAAGAAAGATATCCCACTTTGGTAAATGATAAATAACTCCAACCAAGGCCCTATTCTTTATGAGCACAAATCCCCAAAGCCCATACCAATAGAATAACTCACACTGGTCAGCACCATAGCTATTAAATCTAATGCCATTTGCCTTTTTGCATTAGCTAGGATCTCTTAGTTTTCTCTGTCTGGTATATGAGTAGTCTAATACTATCTATAACTTATTTCTTCTTATTATAATCTATTCCTCAGCTGATATGAATTCGGTGATTAATCTGAACCTAAATTGTAGTCATATTAAATAAGTGGCTATCTCAGGTTTTGCTCATACATTGGATGTAAAAACTCCATTTAAACTTAACGGATTTATTATAACTAGTTACAACTATTTCATTCCTATTTCTGATTATATATCACTTTTGGGGTTTTGGGGTTTTGGGGTTTTGGGG